TTCTTTAAGTCTATCTATCTACAAATTTGTCTATCTATCTATAAGTACAGCAAACATATACGTATTTCTTCCAAACTATGACGTTTTTTTCATAAGTAACCTAAACACTTTCCTTTCAAGATCAACACTATAATATCCTTGCACTTACTTCCATACCCGAAGACAGCCACAGCGAAATGAACGAGAAATGCCGTCTTGTAAAACATTTTTCTTGACTGATGTTCCTCTGTAAAAGTTTAATTTTTCGGTAGAGTTAGTTATGTTTTGTGTTGCAGAAGTTGGATAGAGATTCCGATCTGATATTAGGATGGAGAAACAAAACAAAAACATGTGAATCGAATCTTATGTTTATATCGATTTTATGATTAATGGTTCTGGGAACAGAAAGTTGGATTAAGTTTAGACTGGATCTTATCTATTAGTATTTTTGTTCAGTCAAGATATTAAAACAAAAATCATCTATGCTGATATATTAACGAAATGAATTACACCCATTTAGAATAACACTTCATGGCTGTAAATACACACAAGTTATCGTAAACTACGAAACGGAACAAACTATGATCATCGTAAATACTCTAAAAACGACAACTTTTTTAAAAACAAAATAAGGAAAGCCTTAAGGAAAGTCTTAAGAAAGATTTATGTCACTACTTTTTCCCTCCCTCTCTCTCTCTCTCTCTCTCTCTTAAGATTATGAAGCGACAGTAATACCATGACTCACTCACCGTGCAGGATATTCTGCAACTGTGACATGACATGACACAACTCGCTTTTAAATCTTCTTCCGCCCCTCCCTCTCTTCTCCCCCCTTCCCCCTCCCCCCTTTACATCCCCCTCCTTCTTATCTCATCCCTTCACCCCCTCCCCCCTTCCTTATCTCACCTTCCTCACCTTTTCCCCTACCCATGCGAAAAGGGGGCCCTGGAGTTCATTTGAGGAGACCTACTAACTTCATGCCTTCCGTCTAGCTTCCTTTAGCACTAACCTGGCCTTGGCTCACGTACTGTTGTCATGGATCAAGAGGTCACATGCCTAGGACGTCGTTTCAGCTGACCAACACGGTATCGGTGGTCGACGATACTCCCCGCTACGTTTGGGAATGGATGCTTCTGCTGTAAGATGAATTCGTGATGGGAAGTGATCAACAGCATCTTGGACACAATGGAAAGCATTCACGGAGCCCAGCATTACTGCAGTTTGATCTAAAAAATAAAGATTTCAGTTTACGTGTTCAAGTCGCCATATCTTCACCCCATTGGCCGGAATGCCATTCACCTCCTAAAAAAGTAATGAAAAGGGGTGACTTCTATACAAGTCATCCATGGCCTACCAGTGGTTTTCTTTAATCAAAGCTTACGCATTTACCATCTTCTTTATTATAATTATTATTATTATTATAATTTTAATATCATTATTATTATAATCATCATCATTACTACTACTACTACTGCCGCGACCACTACTACAATCGTTATTATATTTCCTATTAAATTAATTATCTTTATTATTATTGTTATTATCATTACTATTATCATTATTTTTACTTAAGGAAGACTTAATGAATCGTAATCCACCAGAATGCGGGGTAAGTTACCACTTTATTCCTTGATATAAGGAACATTATCATGATTAGGGTTGTGACAAACAATTATTTAAAATAATTTTATAAGCTTAAGCTTTAAGCTCATAAAATAATCCTTTAAAGCGTATAATTAATCTTTTTCACACAAAATAATATTTTTAAGCTTAATTAATTGTAGTGAAATGCGTGAAAATGTTCATGTTATAAACAATAATTAATGGATATTTCGGATCAGAGGGATGTCAGCAGACAACAGCGCACGACAAAGTTTCTCATTGAACTGTTTTTGCGGTGAAGTTCCCATCTCCTGTTCAATTCCAATATCCTCCCTATCACCATCATTCATATTGGGGATTTCCTCATTAATACTTTGCACGTTGTTCCGGTGTTTCTTGGTTTTGGAATGTTGCACGAAATCAGACTTTTTCAACCTGTCCATCTGAAAAAAAGGGATTTCATGATGTAGCTCACATAATTCAGACTAGTAAAACTTGCAACAATGACTACTGACGAAAACAATATTTTCCAACCACGGTTTCATTACTTGATAAGACTCAATTTTATGTGGAAAACGAATATTTCAACATTTTATATTAATATATTCAGATGAATAGCAGTTCATTCTAATATAACAAAGTAATAACGTCGCATTCAGTGAGTCTTATACCGTCATTGAGTGTCCGATTCTGTCTTGCCTCTGAAAATTAGATTAAGAAAACACTTGACGTATATACCATTTTCTCACCTTCACATGACAAAACTTGCACTGTATCACTCCATCAACATCCTCAAAGTCTTTGAACTCATCGAGTAATTTTCTTTTGAGCTTGTGTGCCTGAATTTTTGGCATCTTTGCAAGCTGAAATGTGGAGAAAGTAGTAAAGTTTATAATTTAGAAGTAAATATTACAACTATGGAACTATGAAAATGCTACTAACTTACTTTTAAGTAACCGACGGAAATACTTCAGAATCTACTATCTAGTAACTGATATGCCAATTATATCGATTGCAAGGAATTGTAGAGGTGAAAGAGCGATGTGATTATGGAAGAAAGTAGTTGTGGTTTCATTCACTTTAGTTCACTACACATTATGCAGAATGATAGATGAATAAAATTACAATAATAATTATACATTACAGACCAATAAAATATTTCCAATATTATAGACAAAAAAGTAATTGTATGAATGAAATCTGCAATTGTTAAAGCACAATCAATCAATAGATATTTTTTCCAATAAATAAATTTTAACATTATAGTGAAGTCAAATAAACAGGACATTAGAATATTATAATCCATTTTTCATCCATAAAATTATACCAAAACTTAACAGACACTTACCTGTTGATCTTACAGTTCTGTCGTGACTACTGTTCACTTACAGGGCTGTAGGGTCAACACATCACCTCGTTTTCTCCTCTTCTAAAAAAAATATTTTTTATTCTTCTCTTTTTTTATCTCTCAGATTGGAAAATAATTCGTTATTAATTGTTTGTGCATCAACAATTTTAAATTTCATTCAAACAATTACCTTTTTCTCTATAATATTGGAAATCTTTTATATAAATAAATTGTAACTCTGAAAACAAAATTAGAACATTAAAGATGCACAGAGTGAAGATTATTTAAAAGGATTATTCTTGGATTAAGCTTTTAATAATAAGCTTATTTTTCTAAGCTTTTATGTTAAAAAGCTTAACAATTATATTTTTAAGCTTATAAGCTAATGTCACAACCCTAATCATGATCATAGGTGTTTTGTGCCGTAGATAAGCGCGCGTGTGAAAATTTATACGGTTGGTTTATATGAGATCACTTTCGTCGTTTTTTTTTTTTTTTCTATGGATATGGAACGAAGATTATGACCTTGTAAATTCTTAAGCCCCTGTAGCCATTTCTTCACATAATTTTTATTTCATATATATGCGAAAAATATGTGAACAAATGGGTAAAAAAAAAAATGAACATTTCCTTAACTACTATATTTTTAATTATGTTTTATCTCATTTCATTTTTGTTTTCTTTTTCCTTCATTTTCATAAGCTAACTCTTCAGAATTTATTTTGAGTGATGATTTTTTCTTTATCTTTTGGTTTCTCCCGAATCTTTCTTGATAATGGGTTTCTCAAATGAGTCTGTGATAAGGATATGTTTATTCCGCTTTATTCCGGTGCCTTCAGGATAATAATAGGATCTATCAGGTTTATCAGCTTATCAGATACACACACACACACACACACACACACACACACACACACACACACACACACACACACACACACACACACGTGTATGTATGTATATATGTATGTATATATGTATGTATATATGTATGTATATATATATATATATATATATATATATATATATATATATATATATATATATATATGTAAAGGATCTTTTGTTAATATGGTGTCATTTCGTCATTGGATTCATCACATCACTTAATCATCTTATCACTTTCATTAAAAAGGGGGTATAAAAAGAAGATATAACCATTACCAAATATATTTACAATTATAAGCAATCAAAAAAAAATAAACAATGTAAATGTCCACGTCCCAAGCAAGCGTGTCAAACGGCCCAGGTGTCACGGGGCTTGTTCAAGCTTGGCGCTGCTCCGATTAACCTCGGGGGCACGTGTGGCAAAATATCGTGGCGCCTGGCGTCAGCAAAGCCATGTATGACATAAAATAACTGGAAACAAGAAATATATATAAATATAATGAATTAAGAGCACCTACGGTATACCACGCTATGTGAATTAGCGTTTTCAGGGAAAGCTTTCGTACTCACGAGGCGAGGGTCACAGTGTTCACTCGAACAAGTGGTATGGCAAAGTGACCGCTTACATGAAAAAGAAAAACCAGGTGAGGCACACCTACGCGCATGCGCATTACAGTAAGGGGGTTACGAGGAACTAACTTTTATACAAAAACAAAAAAAAATAAACTAATTATACATAATTAATGTGTATTAATATTTAACATTAAATGAGTATTTTAGAATAGGGTTAATAGTCTTCTTACGATAACCCTGATATCACTATATACAAATTGTTTTATACAAGGTAAATGTGTTATATAATCCCTTTACAATGCCCCATAACCAAGCATAAAATCTAATGATTTTATGTCATTCATATAACATATTTACTTAACACAGCGGCTCAGAACGTCCGCACCTACATTTTCTTTACCTTTTATATATTGTATTCTATATGAATAACCTTGCAAAGCTAGAGCCCATCTCATTAATTTTCCATTTGAATTTCTCATGTTTCTGAGATATACCAAGGGCTGTTGGTCAGTTTCTAGTACAAATTCCTTACCATAGATGTAAGTTTTAAACTTGTTTATAGCCCAAACGATTGACAAACATTCCTTTTCAATAGTTGCAAAGTTCTTTTCCCTATCTAGTAGCTTTCGGCTAGCATAAGCTATAGGCATCTTTGTTCCATTATGTTCCTGAAGCAAGACCGTCCCAATGCCATTCTCAGAAGCATCACAACGTAAGAAAAATGTCTTCGAATAGTCAGGAAGACACAGGATTGGTTTGTCTAAGAGCTTGGATTTTAACTCAAGAAAGCTAGAAACTTGTTCTTTATTCCAATTCAGTTTATTACTTGAATTCTTTTTCAGTAGCTCATTCATGGGAGCACAAATGTTTGCAAACTTTGGAATGAATTTTCTATAGTATGAAATTGTTCCAATGAAAGATCTTAGCTCTTTTTTGGTGTCTGGCAAAGGCATTAACTCAATTGCTTTAATACGGTCTTCAGGTGGTTTAATAACATTCTCTCCGAGAACAACTCCAAGATAATTTATTTTATTGTATCCAAAGAAGCACTTACTTATACCAGCCGTTAAGCCATGCAACCGTAATTTATTCAGCAAACACCTCAGATCCTGCAAATGATCAAACCAATTAGAATTATGAATTACAATGTTGTCAAAGTAACAATCTGTATTCTTCAAACCAAAAATTACTTTTCTCATCAGTCTAACAAATGTTGCACAAGCTGTTTTGAGTCCAAATGGCATCATTACAAATTGCATGAGTCCTCTGTTAGTGGAAAAAGCAGTATATTTCTTAGATTCCAAAGATAGAGGAATTTGCCAGTAGCCTAATTTAAGATCTATCTCGGTAAAATATTTATCATTAACAAAATTACCCAAAGATTCTTCAGTTGTGGGCATGGGTTCACAATCAAAAATTGTAACATCATTTAAGCTCCTGAAGTCGATACAGAACCTGTAAGTTTGATCGCGCTTTCTTACGAGAACGACCGGGGAACAATATGGTGAAACAGATGGCTCTATTATGCCTAAATCAAGCATCTTGTCAACTTCCTTGTTGAAAACATCAATCAGATTATAGGGTATAGGATACGGTTTCTTACAAACAGGGTTAGTGGTCTCAAGCTTGATTACGTGTTCTATAGACTTAGTGTGACCTGGCTTGTCGGTGAAAACATCAGGAAATTCAGAAATAAGAACATTTACATCATCTTTCTGTTGAACACTCAGATCGCGTCCTACATTTAAAGATTCATTATTTGTAAATTCCAGATACATAGGTTCATCTACATTATCACAATCATTTTCATCCACAATGCATACATTAACAATTTTGTTGTTCTCAGGTGCAGTTTCATCGCGACGGAAGTATCGCTTCAACATATTTATGTGAAAAAGCTTATTCTTTCCACGCACTTTGATGGCATAATCTACTCCATTATCTTTCACGCCTATGACTGGATAAGGCCCTTTCCATTGCATAATCATCTTATTGTGATCAGTGGGCAAGAGTACAAGCACTTCATCATTCACCTTTAACTTGCGATTTCTAGATTTAAGGTCATAATAGCTTTTGTAAGTCTTGCTGCTTATCTCGGCTTGGGAAACGGCCAATTTTGCAGTTTCCTCTAATCTGGATCTTAATTCGGTTACGTATTGATAAGTAGACTTTACTTCACTATCGATCTTGTCATTAGACCAAAGTTCGTGCAAAATAGTAAGTGGACCTCTGACTGGTCTTCCATAAAGGAGTTCAAATGGAGAAAACTTCAGCGAATCATTCGGAATTTCCCTGTAAGCGAAAAGAACGGCGGGAAGATACCTATCCCAATCTCGCGGATGGTCAGCGCACAGCTTCTTAATCATTGCTTTCAAGACTCCATTCAGACGTTCAACCGCGCCATTGCAACTCGCATGATACGGGGTTGTGTACAGAGCTTTAACTGACAGCAATCTATGAATCTCGGCCATTAGGTCTGATCGAAACTGAGTTCCGCGATCCGACAAGATTTCTTTTGGGATGCCAACACGAGAGAAAATCTCAACTAAGCTCTCTGCTATAGTCACGGTGTCTATATTCTTCAGACATACGGCTTCGGGGAAACGCGTAGCATAATCTATCATGGTCAGAATGTATCTGTGTCCGCGGTCGGAGCAAGGTGATATCGGACCGACAAGGTCAATAGCGACACGTAAGAAAGGCTCTGAAATGACGGGAACCGTTTTCATCGGCACCCTCTTAACGCTGCCTTTGTGCGAAACCTTTTGGCAGATGTGACACGATCTGCAATAACGCTTGATGTCTGCTCCTGCTCCAGGCCAGAAAAATTTAAGGAATATCTTATGGCTAGTTTTCCTATGTGAAAAGTGGCCAGCTGTTAGTGAATCATGAGCAAGATTTAATATTTTACTTCTATAAATTTCAGGAACAACCAGTTGTTTTCTACCCTTTTCATGATCGAATTTACTATCTAAGCAGATTCTATAGATTAATTCATTAATTATTTCATATTTAACTGCTCTATTCTTAACATTATCTATTTTTCCTGTCTGTACCTTTTCCCTAATTGACTTTAAAGTAGGGCATGTGTTCTGCGCCTTGATGACGTCACGTTTACTGATGTCAAGTTGTGTCACCGCGGGACACTTCAGAGGCTTACGTTCATCTGATCGTTCCGCCATTGCACGAGTCTCCACCCTCATAACAGTCTCAGGCGATGTAGAAAGGACATTACGTACCTTAGGCAAACGATTCGGAGGGTTAGAAAGGGGAAAAGGATCTCCAGACGATTCGAAAAGATCAAGATTAGCAGGAGATTCATCAGGTTTGGATTCAGGCGGGATTTTAACACCTGGAAAAAGTCCAATTAATATATCTGCAAATTTTATAGGCGCTGCTATGGCATTAACCCAACCAGTAAAGAATTTCGATTTAATAAAACATCTTATCTGAGGAAAATAATTAGCAATTCCCAAGTAATCGTAAACCTTCACAAGTTTCCCATATTTGTAATTTGATGGAACAAGACTATCTTTCACAACTATTGTAGAACAACCAGAATCCAACATTACCTGAGCTCGTCTATTGAAAAAACACCCATTATCATCAATTATACACCTGTTTGGTTTTAGTTCCGACTCAAAAACAAAGTTAACTTTACTAGTGCTCATTTTCTTATAATTTCTAGGATTATCAGGACACTGAGGCCTAATATGTCCACTCTTACCACACCCATGGCAGATCGGTTCACTATCCTTCGCTACATTAGTCTTACTTTGCTGAGAAAACCTCTGCGATCGACCGCGAAAATTATGCGCACTCCTGTACCGTTCCGCAGCCTCTGCCATTTCGGTAGCACTATTATATTCATGTTCTTTTAAGAAAACCCTTAAATCAGCACTGCAATTATTAAGAATCTGTTCTCTGACCAAGAAATCGAAAAGTGAATTATAATCTTTATCAACATTACTCAATGAAATCCATCTGTCTAAGTACTGCTCCATTCGAACTACCATCTGAATGTAAGATTCTTTCTCCCCACACTTACTCTCCCTGAACAAACGTCTGTACTTATCTGCATCCACTGAGTAAGCTCTGAGTAAAGCCTCTTTCAACTTCTCGTAGTCTTTCACCGTCTCGTCAGGTAACGATACGTATACTTTCAACGCGTGACCTCTCAAAACTGATCCTAAATAAACGTGATAATCTTGTTTATCCCATTTGTGTAGAGTAGCTAACCGCTCAAATCTCTGCAAGTAGCTATCTATCTCATCTTGGCCATCGTGAAAGGTAGGCAATCGTAAATTATCATACATTTGAAGAGACGTACTCTTACTTTCGGCATTAGAACATGATAACTGGGCCATAGCGAGTTCGTGAGAACGGCGCTTATCAGCCTCTTCTAATTCTAATTCTAATTTTTTCATCTCTCGCTCAGAAGCTCGCTCCTCGCGTTCTTCTTTAGCATGCTCATGTTCTAATAATCTTTCAATAGCTTCCGGATTCAAACCGAGAGCCTGAGCTTCTCTCAAAATATCAGTTACTGACTTCATGTTTCTCGCAAACAAAAATGAGTAACAATTTAAACAATTAACGTTATTAATAAAATATCAAATAACTAGGAGAACAACTCCAAACGTGACATCCACAGCACAATACAAGGCTGATAATCACTGTTACGAGGCACGAGTATTTAACAGTCACTCGACCTTTACACGTAACTAAAGTACGGGAAGCGAATTACGACTTCCGAACATCGAACTATAGGAAACACAGCGAAAACAATTTTCTCATTTACACACGAGGAAATACACCGTCACTATAGTTAACGATAAACATCACTTGCCTCACCTGCACCTCCCTTCTGCGCATGCCCGTGGTTTACAAGCACTCACCAGTATCATCACCACGACAGACAAAGTCATTTCCTTAAAAGATATACAATGTATTAGATTCGTACATAAGAATCCCCTATTAATGAAGCGAACATAACAAGCAATGTAACAATCAATGACGACACCATCCTACTCACTGCGCCAGTTGTAAAGGATCTTTTGTTAATATGGTGTCATTTCGTCATTGGATTCATCACATCACTTAATCATCTTATCACTTTCATTAAAAAGGGGGTATAAAAAGAAGATATAACCATTACCAAATATATTTACAATTATAAGCAATCAAAAAAAATAAACAATGTAAATGTCCACGTCCCAAGCAAGCGTGTCAAACGGCCCAGGTGTCACGGGGCTTGTTCAAGCTTGGCGCTGCTCCGATTAACCTCGGGGGCACGTGTGGCAAAATATCGTGGCGCCTGGCGTCAGCAAAGCCATGTATGACATAAAATAACTGGAAACAAGAAATATATATAAATATAATGAATTAAGAGCACCTACGGTATACCACGCTATGTGAATTAGCGTTTTCAGGGAAAGCTTTCGTACTCACGAGGCGAGGGTCACAGTGTTCACTCGAACAAGTGGTATGGCAAAGTGACCGCTTACATGAAAAAGAAAAACCAGGTGAGGCACACCTACGCGCATGCGCATTACAGTAAGGGGGTTACGAGGAACTAACTTTTATACAAAAACAAAAAAAAATAAACTAATTATACATAATTAATGTGTATTAATATTTAACATTAAATGAGTATTTTAGAATAGGGTTAATAGTCTTCTTACGATAACCCTGATATCACTATATACAAATTGTTTTATACAAGGTAAATGTGTTATATAATCCCTTTACAATATATATACATACATACATACACACACACACACATACACACACACACACACACACACACACACACACACACACACACATATATATATATATATATATATATATATATATATACATATTTAAATTACATACACACATACACACACACATACACACACACACATACGTATGTATGTACACACACACACACACACACACACACACACACACACACACACACACACACACACACACACACACACACACACACACACACACAGTGTTGCTGTCATTTATTTTCTCTCTTTTCTTATCATCATCATGCTTTCTATTAAATCTCAAATATATAAAAGCCGCATACAAGGTTTCAATGTACCACAGTGACTATAATTAGATGCATTTAATGGATTTAATATATAGTACCGAAGGCCCTTCATTTCAAACATATATGTTATACTTCTTCTGTTATACTGTTATACTTTATGTTATACTTCGACGTGGATTCAACCTTAGCTTAGAGGAATAACCTATCTGGATATGAAGAGGTCTGGATTTCTTGCCAATTTATTTATTTTCGTTGCATATGTTTTGTTTTGATAATCTATTTATACACATATGCGGGTACATGTATATGTATGGATATATAAACATATGTGTGTGTATGTGTTTGCGTGTGTGTGTGTGTGTGCGTGTGTGTATGTGTGTGTGTGTGTGTGTGTGTGTGTGTGTGTGTGTGTGTGTGTGTGTGTGTGCATGTGTGTGTGTGTGTGTATGTGTATGTGTATGTTCCCAGCATCGATCTCTCAGTTCCTCTCTTGGCACTTCCTAGTTTTCTTTGTAGTATCTTAGCTGTAGTCCATGTTTCTGACACTTGTCATGACTTGGAGGATGCATAGGTTGAAGTGTATATATGTGTATATACATATAGATAGCCAATATGTATATATATACATATGCATAAACAGGTATATATGCATACATGCTTATATACACATACACATTCACATATATATAAGTATGTATATATAAATGTATGTTTATTTATATAGATATATATACACACGAAGCTCTGATAGTTTTATTTATATTGGATTAAATCAATACAAAAGTTGTTGATTCATTTATTCAGTGAAGTTACTAAATACAATAACTGATTAAATTTACCATATGGTGCATATACGAAATAAGTGTTACAATTTAGTTTAAACTGATAATTAAATTCATTTTCTACCAAAGAGAAAAGAATTGTCAAAAAAAGAAAGAAAATTCCTTCAAGGCGCCGGCTGTTCTCTTTAATATCCCTTCTTTATAATCTTGGGAACTGCAATAAAATGCAATGGAGATAAGTTCCTATTTGTTATGTATAATTAGCATATTCATTTACCAATATCTCATCGTTGACTTTTAATTGCTGTGGATAATTATATCGATTTAGGGACGTAATTTCTTTGTTTATTATAGACAGAAATATAGATATACACATAATGCCTTTCTATATGTGTATGTAGATGTATGATGTATATATATACACACGTATATATGAACACATACATTCATATACGCATATGTATAAAGGCATTATGTGTGTATCTATGTTCCCGGCTTTAATAAACAAAGAAATATCTTTTCTCAATCACGAGCGACTTACCACAAGGTCCATCATGCTTCTTGGAAACGTAAATACCATTGCAGGTTTTGTCATTCTGAAGCTCGCAGTAGTTCGAGTAAGTTTTACCGTTGGTACCGCACAGAGGCTCGTAGATCAAGGGGCATGGTTTTGGGCATCTATTTGGAGGATCTGAAAGGTGTTCAATCGCAGGAGAATGTGTTCTGTTAAGGCATCTTTTTTTTTTTTTTTTGGTGGAAGAAGTGGAAAAAAGTATTTGTCCTTTAACATAAACAACTAGGGGCAATAAAAACAACCATACTACTACTACTACTACTACTAACAATAACAACATTTCCCACTCACAGCAAGGTCCGGCATGGTGGAAAGTGACACGCAGACCACGACAAGCTGCATTCTCCAGGTGACATCGGCTGTCATAAGTTTTGCCATCAGAGCCACACACGGGGGATATGATGTCACAGAACTTGATGCAGGATTGAGTATTCCCCCCCTCTGGTTCATGGGTCGCAAGGATGGCGATAGAGTTAATGGGGTATTTTCGATTTCTTTTACATAATATAAATGGTTTCTTGTAACATAATAGAGTTAGAGAAAATTAAAATATATACGTTTTTGATATATATACATAAGGCTCGTTATGACAAAGTATGTTAGACAGAGTGAAATTTGCGACTAATTTATTTTCGTTTTTTTTAGTTCATTATGACGAATTATGAATATATATATATATATATATATATATATATATATATATATATATATATATATATAATTTTCGGCACAGTGCTCAAGAAAATTGACTGATAATGATATATTCGTTATGACAAGGTATGTTTAGATATGTGAAATCAGAAAAAAAAACTGGTCTTAAATTCTTTATTTAATATTAGTGGTAACTAACTATACGAACAAAATACCTAGACTGATAACGTTTCTGTTTCACAATGACAAATTATACTTAAATAAAGTAAACACCTTAATAATTTTACCTTCGATTATTCCCTCTCAATTTCAGAATACAATTACCTGTGTAAGTAATCTTCCTAAACAGACAGTATTACATCAAGATAAGTTAGAAATATTGCAACTTACTTCCGTAGCCAGAGACTGCAACGACCACTGCAAGAAGGGTTAAGAGTGACACTTTGTTGGCCATCTTCGTTTCGTTTCAAGATCTGTGAAGAAAAGATGTTACCTTTACTTAGTGCTTTAGAGATTGGTAAAGTCATGAAGGAAAGTGTTTTAAAGATTGGTAAAGTCATTAAGGAAAGTGTTTTAAAGATTGGTAAAGTCATTAAGGAAAGTGTTTTAAAGATTGTTAAAGCCATTAATGAAAGTGTTTTAAAGATTGGTAAAGTCATTAAGGAAAGTGTTTTAAAGATTGGTAAAGTCATTGGCCATCTTCGTTTGGTTTCAAGATCTGTGAAGAAAAGATGTTGCTTTTGCTACATGACCTTAGATGTCTAGCACATTTATTTTGCTTTTAACTATTAAGGAAATTGGTAAATTATATATTTCGACCCTATTTTTTCAAATATTTGGACGCCAGTTACGTATATGTACTATATTACCAGAACCTTGATAAATTGTGTTTCTATTAAAGAACCATTTATTTTTTTTATGCCAATCATTTATGTAATTGACTACCAAAAAAATGTATAAACTGTATAATGCATCAAATGGATTTTCATCTAACGCCAATTACGTTTGTGATATTGCTATAAAATCCCTCAATATATCCGCAACAGCAACGTATACCGATGCAAGGTCGAAACACAATGACGGTAATTTTTCTGATTTTTTTCTTCCAATTCATATTTGAAACGGATAAATCTACGTTCATGTATTGTAGTGTTATAAAAAAAAAAAAAAAATCTTGCTACTTATGCATTGTCTGGTCTGTGTTTCCTGTTACATATTTCGTTTAAATCGAGGTACAACTGTCAACAATAACAACAAAATAAAAATCTTAAAGTATATATACAGATTATTCAAATCGAAATATCGACGTTAAAACTAGATAGGTAAATGAATAAACCGATAGTTAAATGAATGTGAATAAATAAAAATCGTAGAACGTATGTACAAAATGATCAAATCGAAAAACAGGTGTCAAAAATAAAAATCTTAAAGTATATATACACAAAACGACAAGCGTAGAAACATAAATAAATTTTGACGACTTCTCACCTGCCCACGTGAAGTGTAACTGGTGCTCGATCTACCTGGCATACATTTAAATCATTTCCAGTCCCCCCCCCCCCTTCTCCTCACATAACATCATGACATCACCTTCCCCTCCACCCCGCCGCTTATCTGTCTCTGCTTCTCACTTCTTCTCTCAACTTTCATCCTCTCCCCTCCTCTTGCCTCCCTTCTCTCCTTCCCCCCTCCCCCTCTCCTCTCCTTTCCCTGCTTCCCTCCACCCCTTCCTCTTTCATCGTATCTCTCCTCTCCTTCCCTTCCCTTATGTTTTTTCAACTCCCTCCATTCCTCTTGCCTCCCTCCTCCCTCTCTTCCTCCACCTTCCCTCCCTTCCCTCTCTCCTCTCCCCTTGCCTCCCTTCTTCCCCTTTCCCTCCCCCCTCCCTCTCTTCCTCCCTATTCCCTCTCCACTTTACCTCTTCTTCCCACCTCCTCTTCTCTCCCTATCCCTTCCCTTCCTCCCTCTTCCCTCTTCTCTTCTTATGCCTCCCTAATTTCCCTCCTTATCCTTTCCTTCCCCTCCCTCCTATCTCCTCTTCTCCTATCCCTCACTGCAAACCCACTTCCCTCTTCCTCCTCCCTCCTCTCCTCCTCTGAACCCCCCTCTCCCTTCCACTCCTCTCTCATCTCTCCCATCCTCCCTCCTCTCCCCTTCCCTTCTCCCTCTTCCCTCATAATCCTCCTCCTCCTCCTCTCTCTCCTCTGTCCATCCCTCCTTCTACTCCCCCTCCCTCTGATCCCTCCTCTCTCTCCTCTCCTCTCCCCTCATACCACTCCTCACCTCCATCCCCTCTCTTCTCTCCCTCCTCCCTCCTCCATGTTTATTGTCTGGTGTTCATTTTTTATCATCTGGCTTCTTGGATGCATCGAGGAATTCCCTGGAGATTGAAAACAACAACCGGAAATCCGCTAGCTGATGTAGATGCATTTGATCTCATACAGAAATAGTTGTCTTTCTCTATATGAACAAATTCGTTTTTTATATGCATGGGAATGTTTATGTGTATATGTATATATTTACATATATGCATTTATTTACATATACACACATGCATATGTGAGTGTGTCCTTGCGTATTTGCATTCGTGTGTTTGCGTATGCACGTGTGTGTCTTTACGTGTACACATCTCAACAAAGTGATTCACATAATTAAAATGTTAGCCAAAGTTATATACAATGCTATGAGACAGACTTTATCCCATGAGAGTACTTAAATGTACTCACAAGCGGAACTGCAGGTAAAGTACATGACCGAATACATCCTTTCTGCAAGGAGAAAATATTTTCCTAATATTTTCCTAAAACGGGAACAACTACTTGACAACACGAAAGCTGTTCAGTATACAGTATACAGCCTATAGTATGTATGTCGATAAGTTTCAAGTAGCACAGGAATCTTCACTGATGTTAATGTCCTTGCAAGGTCAAATGTGCATGTGTGCGTGTATGTGAATGCGCGTATAAATGTGTATACGTTAATATATTTGTGATTTTTTGTTTGTATGTGCATATGCATGTAAATATATGTATATATACATATATATACACATACATATGCATATATATATATATATATATATATATATATATATATATATATATATATATATATATATATATATATATATATGTATATGTGTAACCAGCCATTTCGTGTAATGGCTGAAAATTCCAGTCATTTCACGAAATGGCTGTTTCACTCTGCCAGTTCATAAAACAGCTAAAATATTCAGTCATTACAAGAACTGGATGAAAGCTGATAATCATCATTACACAACTTGCCTGATGTGATTCAGGGGAGATAACAGAACAGAGGAAGAGGGTTCAGGGAGGCACAACTCTCCCAGGCTGAACGTATGGCAGCCGTATAAACTTCAAGGCAGAGGAAGAAGGGGGTAATGTTGCTGTTCCCATCCCCATGGTGGAGAGGGGAAGGGGCGAGATCCACGTGTCATCCTCGTTGGTGTTATTATTGGTTCGGAGGAAAGTGGAGAGAGGAGAGAGAGGAGAAGGAGGAGGAGGATTATGTGGGGAAGAGGGAGAAGGCAAGGGGAGAGGAAAGAAAGCAGCGAAGATGATAGGAATGAGAGAGGTGTGGGAGGGAAAGGAGGTTTGAGAAGAGAGAGGAGGAAGAGGGAAGTGGAGGTGAGGGATAGGAGAATTATACAACAATAGCTTTGAATAATGGGACTCTGGAGACCAAGTACTCCCGCAATCAGTTTGATATTTGTCCTCAGAGACAAGTATTGTCTCCGGATTCCAGTATATCTGTTACTAGTCATGTCTTTTCTGATGATATAAAGTGACAACGATTTATTCTCACTTACCCACGTGTAGTGTAACATGTGCACGATTTACCTGTCATACCTTTAAATAACCCCCATCCCGACTCTAATCTGTCTTTGCTTCATACTTCCTCTCTCAGTTTTCTCCCTATCCTCTTCTCTTACTTCCTCCCCCACCTTCTTTATCCCTTCCCTCCTTCCCTGTTTCTCTCACCCCCTTCCTCTCTCATCGTATCTCTCCCCCTTACTCCGTCCTGCCTTCGTTTTTTCATCGCCCTTCTCTTCTCTTGCCTCCCTCATCTCCCTCTCTTCTTCTTCTTCCCTCTTTACGTCATCCCTTCTTCTCACCCTCTATTCCCTCTCCCACTCCCTTCCCTTCCCTGGTCCCCCTGCTCCCTTGCCCCCCCCCCCCTTCTCTTCTATGCCGCCCTAATCTTTCCTCATCCCTTCCCTCCCCTCTCTCCTCTCACACCCCTTCCTCACTCATCTTCTCCTATCCCTCACCTCCACTTCCCTCTTCCTCCTCTCTCCTCTCTTCCTCTGAACCCTCCTTTCCTTCCCACTTCTCTCTAATCCCTCCCATCCTCCCTTCCCTTCTCCCTCTTCCCTCATAATCTTCATCCTCCTCCTCTCTCCCCCCTCTACATCTTCCTCCGAACCCTCCTCATTCTCCTCTCCTCTCCCTTCATACCACTCCTGCCTCCATCCCCCCTCTCCTCTCTCCCTCCTCCCTCTCCATGTTTATTATCTGGTATCTATTTTTTATCATCTGGAGACTGAAAACAACAATAGGAAATCCGGTGGCTGAGACATGCACCTGGGCTCATACACAAATAGATATTGAGAAATCTTTTCTATATGCATTTGTGTGTGCCTTTACATGTACACATTTCAACAATGACAAATCATACTTAAATAAAGTGATTCACATAATTAAAATGTTCGCCAAAGTCATACACAATGCTATGAGAGAATTTGTCCTATGAGACAAACTAAGTGCTTAAGTGTATTCACAAGCGGAACTGCAGGTTCAGTGCATGACCGAATACATCCTTTATACAAGAAAAAAATGTTTTCCTAATATTTTCCTAAAACGGGAACAACTACTTGACAATACGAAATGTGTTCAGTATGCAGCGTATAGTAAGCATATCGATAAGTTTGAAGTAGCACAGGAATCTTCATTGATATTAAAGTCGTTGCAAGGTTAAATGTGCATGTGTGCGTGTACGTGAATGCGCGTGTAAATGCGTGTACGTAAATCTATTTGTACGTTAGTTTCTGTCCGTGTGTACATGTGACTGTAAATATATGTATATATACGTATGTACATATATGCATATATATATACACATATGTGTAAACATATATATGTATTTATATATCTATATATTATATATTATTAGCCTGCAACATTCCACTGCAGGACGTAAGCCTCGCCCAATCTTTTCCAATCATTCCAATCTTGCACTCTTTGTTTTTCAGTTTTGGCCTCCGAGGTTTTTTTTTCACACCATCTTGTCACTAGTTCGGTCCTTGGTCTCCTTGTGTTATTTCCCAGTCTGTTATTTTCCTTCTCCACCTATCGTCCTGTCTTAGGCGTCTACGACCTACCCAATTACCATTTCTTTTTCTTAATGCTCCTAAGTATATGTTCCACTTTGGTCTGTTCCCCTACCTATGTTACTCTCTTCCTGTCTCTCAGGCTAGTTCCCAGCATCGATCTTTCTATTCCTTTCTTGGCACTTCCTAGTTCCCTCTCTAGTATCTTAGTTGTAGTTCATGTTTATGGCACTTGTGTCATGACTGGCAAGATGCACTGAACTATATATGTGTGTATATATATATTAATATTCCTCGCCCAATCTTTTCCAATCATTCCAATCTTGCGCTCTTTGTTTTTCAGTCGTTTTTTCACACCATCTGTAGTTCGGTCCTTGTTCCTGTGTTATTTCCCAGTCTGTTATTTTCCTTCCTCCACCTATCGTCCTGTCTTAGGCGTCTACGACCTACCCAATTACCATTTCTTTTTCTTAATGCTCCTAAGTATATGTTCCACTTTGGTCTGTTCCCCTACCTATGTTACTCTCTTCCTGTCTCTCAGGCTAGTTCCCAGCATCGATCTTTCTATTCCTTTCTTGGCACTTCCTAGTTCCCTCTCTAGTATCTTAGTTGTAGTTCATGTTTATGGCACTTGTGTCATGACTGGCAAGATGCACTGAACTATATATGTGTGTATATATATATTAATATTTATAGATATATAGATACACAGAGAATATTTATGTGAATATGTATATATTGTGTTTATATATTTATACACGAACCTCTGATGTTTTATATTGGATAAAGATAATGAAATTAATACAAAAGTTTTGTTTTATCCATTTATTCAATTGTGACATCAGATATAACATATATAATAATGATAAATATGTTATAATGAATAAGAATAACGACAAATACTAAGATAATAATAGCATAGTAAGTAATTGTTTTAATGATATGGTAAACGAAAAGTATTAGAAAGTATAAGACAATGTTAATTGTTAATTACAATTTGGTACACAAACAGATCTCACACTTTAGCATGTAGAATTTTCCCCTGTTTCTGTCAAAATCTGTAAAGTTACTTTTACTCCTTTTTAAAATCCTCCCAAAACCAGTACTTTACTAGTAAAAAAAAGAAGTGAACTCATTCAGGAAAGTAATTTGTTATTATATGGTGTATATGTGTAACAAAATTATAAAATTTATCCTTTCCCTCAGAAGGTGTATACCATTGTTGATGAATTTCATCTTATACCAAAGAGTAAATTTTAAGAAAAAAAAAGGAAAACTGTTCAATGATCCAGTTGTTCTCTATAATATCCTTTCTTTAGAGGTGGAATCCTGCCAACTGCAATGGAATGTAATGGAGATTAGCTGTCAGGTATAACTAGGATTTTCATTTACCAATATCTCATTTGCGACTTTTAACTACTATGGATTATATTGATATAGGGAAGTAATGTCTTTGCTTAGGCGTGGGTATAGATATACACATAATGTTTTTCTCTATGTATATGCAGATGGATGTGTATACATATGCATACACCCATTATACACACACACACACACACACACACACACACACATACATACATACACACACACACACACATATATATACATATACACACACACACACACACATATATACATATACACACACACACATACATCTGCATACACCTTTATCGAAAGACATTATGTGTATATCTGTGTCTCAGGCTCTAATAAACAAACAGCTTTTCCCAATCACCAGTAACTTATCACAAGGTCCATCATGCTTCTTGGAAACGTAAATACCGTAGCAGGTTCTGTCATTCTCAAGTTTGCATAAGTTTGAGTAAGTTTTGCCGTTGGTCCCGCACACATAGTCATATATCTCAGGGCATAGTCCTGGGCATATCTTTGGGAGATATGCAATTCGTGGAGAAATATGTCTTGACAGGACATCGTTTTGACTCGGGAAAATATGTAAAAATATACATATGTGTATTACACATACATACATACATATATATATATATATATATATATATATATATATATATATATATATATATATATATATATATATATATATATATTTATCCCTTGTAGAATTTTAGATATACCGTCTGTACGTACATTTCGAGTATTTTTTTTTTTTTATGATCGCTAAGCTAAAAGATAATTATAATAACAAAAGACAATATTAACAATACCACTACTACTAA